ACCGCTGTCGCGCCAGCCTTGTAGGAAATGGGAAGGGTATTAAAGTAATCAGTGTCAATCAGTCACTACATATGGGACTTCACTCTCTCGTGTTAGTTACTTTAAATCAGATACGCGTGATTTGCATGCTGACTTTGTGGTGGTTCTGTCACTTCTGTAACCATGTCTACTGACTGTTCCAATTAATTAACACATCAATATTGTCATTTGTATTATAACTGTTGCTTAAAGACTCATTTAATGCAAATCATATCTTCTGACAACGTTTCGAGAGCCATCTGTGCTCTCATCCACAGGGCAACTGCGTAACGAAACTGGTCCTCTGTAGTGCGCTCGCCCATCGGCTACAGAGCAGAGATGTCTCTCGAAACATTGGCAGAAGATATGGTTTATTCACCATTCAGCCATCTGACACGGCTTATAACGCGAGAGTCTTTCATCAACTTCAGTCGCTGCGAAAGCTTCACTTTATGCTCATTTAATATTTTGAATAATGCGTTCGGAATCCAAAAAAAGCAGAAGATATATAAACCGTTTGGACAAGTCTTTACTACGAGACCAAATGCTGGGATAGAGATAAAGTATCTAGATGCAGGGATTGTCACAATTAGCTGCTTGATAAGTCCTAGTAACTCTGAGAGTCGTACGGAAGTGTCATTTTGTCCGCAACGAATCTCATGTAGTCACCCGAGATTGAACCAGGACTCCGCAGTGGGAAATCAGCATCTAACTTCGCGCCGCGAACAGAATAGGAACTAATGTTACTATAACATCGTCTACACCTGAGAATTCACTGTTACATTACTGCAGAATGCGAAGGTGTGGACCCTGTTTTAAATGTGATTTGCTATTGAACCTCTTAAGCTTATTAGAATGAACAATCGAATGTTACAGATGCTCCGTTGTACCTCTTGTGTACTCCTAGGAAATCAAGGAAGACCAAGAGATCACACAATGTTGATCATCTCAGTTTTCAAATTAGGAAAATGTAGCTTAATTTTTATGGCTGAAATTCAAGTACGGATTGTAATTTTAGTGGAGGTTTGAAGTTTTTAAGGTGACGAAAAGAAAATTTATGTCTTCTGGGATGTAGCACCGTGCATTCTGTCAGATACTGATCGACTTTTTAGAGGGGCTTACTGGCTCCGTCATCAGGAAGATGAATGACCCTGATGACGGGGGCAGTAAGCTCCTCTGAAACGTCGGCCAATATCTTGCAGAGTATACGTTACAGCTTCCTAGAAGACAGCCGTTTTCGTAATTTTAATGCCTTGTGTGGCGTTTTCTACATGCTCTGAAAGGAATTGACTACAAACAACAAAATAAAACTATGAAGAGTTACACCAAAAATGTGTTAACTGAATTAAACTCGGCTGTGTACGTCTGAACTAATTTACTTAATTGATGAAATTTCATTTTTTGCTGCGTATTTCTTTGTGATATAAGTGAAATATTTTAAAGAACTAAAACTTTGTATTATAGTTAAATACGTTCTCTCACTTTCCCTGATTTGTTTTATTCAATTCTCTCAGAGTGTTATTGAAATAAAGCCGTCATGCATCACTCAGGATAAGAAATGTCACTTAGCACCATTCATATATCATAGCCCCCCTATGTTTTAATGGCCACGCTGGGAGCAGTTTCACTGAAAACTCCATTCACGAGCAACGATACCCTAGCGGTCAACGGGGTGTTACTGAACATTAATATAGGTTTCGACAGTTGCTTTCTGCATTCTTTCCACTTCATAATTTACAGTCATCCTGACGTTTGGACGCTATGTGACCTATATTGTTGCGACAGCGTTATTAAATTTAGAAACCATTGTATGAACCTGGGCTGAGAATCATGTGTCAGAGATTATGACGTTTCATTTATTTATACAGTAATTACTTATTGATCTGATATTGATTTCAGCTGTGAACAGTTCAGTGCTTAATGAAGCTTGTCTGATGCAAGGATACTAGAAGGGGTTAATATTAGATTGTGCTAAACATTGTTCGAACAAGATATGGCAAGCAGAGCAATCACGCACTGTATCATGCGAATGTAAATAGAATCAATACAAAATTTCCCTCAGTAACCACACATTCCGATGCCGGTGGTTGGAACTGGTTCATACTAAACAAATTTCAATTTTAGTATGTATTAGCATTTCAGAGTTAAACATTTGTAAGTAGTACGAGGTTAAATAAGTAAGTTTTCGCAATGTGGTTATATTTTTTTCCTTTCCGATTCGCCCCAATCCGAAATGTGCACACAAACTTAATTAAGCCTTAAGCGCTGTACCGCCCATCCGCACACGACCTATCGAGACATAACGAGACATAATTAATTTTACAAACATCAGTAACAGAGGCCGATGAGAAATCAAGACAAATGTGTAGGAGCTCACTATTTACCATGCTCTGTTAAATATGGTTAATTAAATAATCATAAACGGACACGAATTCAAAATGTCTCTCTACACGCAGACTAAGATGCCAACAAACTTTGCTTTAAACCAGTGGTATTCAACCGGGGGTACGCGTACCCCCAGGGTTACGCGAAGCTATCTTAGGGGGTACGTGAAATTTAAAACATATATATATATATATGTTTTAAATTTCACGTACCCCCTAAGATAGCTTCGCGTAACCCTGGGGGTACGCGTACCCCCGGTTGAATACCACTGCTTTAAACCATTATAATATTACCTGCTCTTGAAGCCTTCCCAACGTTACTGCCAACCACATCAACACTTAACATTTTACTGAGGGAAATTCCACCACCTAATTTCAGACAGTGAAGGCGAGGCTGTGTAACCATTACGTCTTATGGTTTACGCTATGTAAATTACAACAGCAAAGTCTAGGTTATGTCAGTTTTAAGTGTAGTGGAATTTCTGGGTTGGTGTGTTAAGAGTCATGATTGTAAAGTACAGCTAAATCAAATATAAACGCAGCATTTTGAAACTACATTTACAAATCTGTCACCTGTTCACAGTTCGGAGTGTCCTACAAATACACTCTTTATTCTGTTATCTCGTCAAGTTTTTATTCATTAGATATCCAATTCATGATCATCTTTCCTGTCCCAATCGATAGACTCATTTTAAACCGCAGCAGTTGAAATATCATCGTTATAGAGACCATACCTCCCTCAAAAGAAAAACATTACTCAAAGGTATGTAGTGTGTGTAAGTAGAATTTGATTTTTGATTTTCTCTACATAATTAATAATTCAGTCGAATAAATTAATCCTACAATCATGGCCGCTGTCTTTCTGTTTATGGAGTAACACTTGGCTCAAAAGCGAGACGACTTCAAATGAAATTTCACTTGTTACTTCTACCCCCTACGTGAGACTTCATTAAAGGACGTGAACGTATGTTAAACGCCTCTAGGTCTGTACGGCGGGGATAGCCTGAAGTGGAGCGAGTTGTTTCTGCAACTTTGCGGTTTCTTCCACACAACACTCATTACAAAGAACAAAGAAACACTGCAAAAGGGCACAAGTGGATAATACTGCAATGGTGAACGAAGAACATAGAAATGGGAGTTTTTATTGTCGTCAAGACTAAGCAGGGAATACAAAGGAAGAAAGTAGAAAGAAACAGGAAGTAGAAAGCTATTTTTCGGAGAATTACACGAGCGGATGTTTCAATGTCGTGGATATTCAGTAAAATAGTGAAATGCAAGGAGAATAAACCGTTATTCAGGAAAGAAAAAAACAGGACGAACAAATGAGGGTCGTGAAAGGGGAAGGGTTATATGGAAAGGCAACAACACTTTTCGTTCTGACTTAACAAAGAATGCAAACACAAAAATGTGGAAGAAAGAAACATTGTAAATAAAAAACACACAGGCCCAAAGTCTGCAAACCACACTTCCCTCTAACTACGTAGTCGGTAAAATACACATGAAAAATCAAGTCAGATAAACAGGCGCTAGCATTATGACGTATTGAACGCAGTCCTAGCAGAATCAGAGTGAAAACCAACCAAGAAGCGATGTATTTTATTTGCATGCGGCACAGAAAGGAGATATTCGTGGGAGTTGGGACTTGATTGAGTGATGACAATAAAGGACGGTGGAAAAAAAAAAAACGTTTAAGGTGACGTGAAAGAAGAATAAGTGTAAGTCCATTGGGATAGAAATTTATAACGCAGAGCATCATTTTCTAGATTCTGTGAATCACTGAAATACGGTCGTCTAAAATACTGAAAATATGAAAGATTTACGATTCAGTGAAACCACTGGTAGTCGATTCTAGAAGGCGGTGTGTGCCCTGCCATCTTCATGAACTTGAAAAATTGAGCCCATTGGTCTGTTTCTTCTCTAATAAAGTTTCATTTGGTCAGTCTAACCTTTTTTATGACACATACTTTTCCTTCGTGGGCTGTAATTCAAGGTCCCCTGTGAGATATAATTTACGTTCATTATTTATGTTTATATTTATTTTCGTGATCTTCAATCTTATCTTTATTTAATCTAGTTACCATTTAGTATAGTTTATTCCGCTCTATATTTGTAAAATAAGCCTACAAAATGTATAAGCTTCTCGTGTTTTTTATTTAAGGTTATGTTTCCCCAAAAACATACCAATGTCCGTTGTCACACACATTATTTTCTTGCCAGTAAAAATTGTAACTCGTCTTTTTTCCGATAAGAAACTCCAATTCCGGGGGGCTAGAAATACAGTAAGATAGTTTATATTTCACAGTTGTTGTGCAAGTGTTATCATTCTAACCCAGGCTCACTTTTATGTTTTGAAACTTCCAAGTATTTTCCGATCGAGCTCTTAATTCAAACGTTCAAGGTAATTGCAGTCTGAGCTCTTTTACCTTTTTTTTTTTTTAGGTTTCCAGCCTCTCTGGATCTTCAGCGTTTCCAGTATTGTTCGTGTAGTCTTTTGTCCGTCTTCCTATCTTAGAATCGTCAATTCCCGTTGCAGACAGTTGATTCAACTCTGTGAAGTTGAGGTACCCTGCCGCTGACATTCAATCGTCAACAGTCAGCAGGGGTATACAATGCAACCCAGTAGACATTCGTCTTCGTACATTTATGTGAACGCAAAAGTGTGTTACAGACTAGAACAAATTATTGACTGAACCGTTCGTTACAGCAGGATTTTGGTTTCCAAGCACACAGATTTATGGTGATATACGTGTTCGAGGAGAATAGGGTGAGCTTTATTTCTGTTTTTACAATATTCATTATCGGATCATCTAGTTTACTGTCAAGTGCCACGAAATCAGTACTGCGTAATTGAAAGCTACACTCTTCATTACCTCCACTAATGTTAAGGGAAATAAATTCTTATAACTTTATTCGAGGGTTTATTCTTTCTTCTTCACATGCGTTGGTTCTGTGGCAGATTTAGGATTTGTACGAAAGCTTTAAGTATTGAAATGAGAATAGAAAATATTCGTCAAACAAGCGAGATTGGATCATATTCTGAATAAACTGAATAAATTTATGGCTCGTATTTTGTTTTTAAAAATAAATGTTTTTAATTTAAATTTATAATATCATCACCAGTTCTATGTAGGGTTAGCATTTATATAATCGTGACTTGAAATAAACTGGACACCACTTTTTCATAAAATATGGAATAGAACATCGTTATTTTCCTCTCTCCATTTTAGTACACAAGGGTTTAAGAAATAAATTGTAATCGTAAATCGTTTATAGATGTCAGTATCAGTTTACTTGACATCTGCGTTCCACAGTAGTAATTTTGGCTTGGTTCATTTCTGTTTCCGTTATGCAAGAACACGGAAAAGCAGATAGTAACCGATCGCATATCATACTGTTGGCTGTGTTCGCTCCGTTGACACTCGTACGCATTCTTTATGTTGAGTGCACATCAAATAAATGCCTTTTTGACTTCTGAGCAGATCATAAGCAGGACGTATGTGATAATCAATTAGATTAGTATCTAAAATTGTTTACGGTAGTATGACACGTATCTTCAATAGTAGCAGAAGAGTTTTGATGTCCACAAATCTGGAGGAGCAGGGAACAAGTTTGTAGAGCACATAACGTTCTATTCCTGAGGGCTTAACGCATGGATCCTAGGGTTGTAGTACTGTGCCTGCTGGAGGTTGAGGTTGTACTTTATGTATGTGTTCCCGGTGAAGAGATCGAGGGGTGAGGGCGTTCACGCCGTCGGACGCTGGAAGCCGCTTATCTGGAAAACCAGCCGATAATGCGCGGAGCTATATGGCACTACACACACACTCACTCACTAGAGAGTATAAGGGAAGCGGGGTTATCATGGCGATGAAGGGGTAAGGTAACATAAATGTTATTAACAACAGGCCAAGCTTGCAGATTCCCAGAATTGCCTCCAGCTTCTTTCCTTCGAACGGAGGAGTAAAAACCCGTCCACTTTGTGTTCGACAGATTATGGATTATGTTTGTTTTCTTTGTACTGCCTAAATATACGTTTAATTTCGTTCCAACACTTTGAACAAAGAACACAAAGCTTTAGCCAGTCCCTCATTCTGAAAATCAACGTAAGCTGTATCCGGTAATGGAAACTGTGGATGAAGTCTGAAAAGAGGGAATGTGACAGTTGCAATAAAACCGATTCATTTGTTGTTTTTTATAAATCCGACAGAATGCATTCGATAACATTACAGTGGGTTATCTATCATTTCCATTAACAGTCAACAGAGAAATCTCTCGTTCATTTTCACACCTACCACAAAGGCTTCCTATTTTTTGGCATTCTCTTTAATATCTAGAGCCCGAATACAAATAAAAATGAATTGGTAAACCGAATGATCTCTAATTATTTCCCAGTGACAATACACCGTATCCAGTAGCTGTAAAGTTAAAATTTATTGGTCGAGTTTGTATAATTGAATTGCTCATTTATAAAATGTTAAAAGTCAATTTTAGTAAGTTAATTATTTTGTGCAAAATTAATGACACAGATAATTTTCAACGACCTTGAACTCATTTTTCATCTGAAATCATAGCTCTGAGTGCAGTAAAATATCTCTCGTGTTTATTATCATTTATTAAATCACTTTTGAATTATTTAAACATATTTATAACGTATTGAGCTGCAACTACTAGGCAGCTTTTAGATGTGATATCCTTCTAATATGTATGATGAAGACTGTTAAATGTCGTAGTGACTGGTAGTTTGCATTGTTTTAATTTAAAAGGGGCGGGTTGAGTGTGGGAGAGTGGATAAAAAGAGACAGGGATTAACAAATAATAAACGAAATAAAAAATTGGGTAACGAATGAAGTAATGATAGAAAATACTCCTTGTTGAATTTCAATAAATACTTTACATTATCAAATGTAATATTTAAAATACAATACATAGTTTCTCTATGCTTCTTTCTTTAATTATCCTTAATCGCTAATTTGGGACTGGTACGAATTTCAAGTCCAGAAAGAGAGAGTAATTTTATAACTGAACCTAAAAGGACACTACAATTGAAGAAAAACACGGAAGAACTCGTTCAGTGGAGCCATTGCCACTTTACGATGAGCCATAGATTCATCAGCGCTTTCGCACCAAACCCACATAGGTTCGTTTGTCACGAAGTGACCCGAAGATCTTACATTCCTCCTGCAAATAATGTGGAAAAAAATTTGGTCCATTTACATGAGTTTGAAATCTTGATTACGCGACTACCTTAAAGATGATGACCAGCAGGACATGTGGTTTGCTTTGCAGTACCGATATTGAGCAGTATGAGGTAACATTTAACTTTGTGTATTACGTTTCTATTCTTCAAAGTGAATAAATTTGTGTATATTTGGGTTCTTATGTGGCGTTAAACATTAAATAAATAACAGTGATAGTGCTCGTAGTGAATTTGAAGATGAAGTGCCAGTCGCCATGATAAGAAACCACATGGAACTAACAATCCTTCGATTCTCAAAAGGCTTATAAATATGTTTTCACCAATTGTTTACGCTTATGACAACTGAGAATTTTGGTGTCAGTGATGATAAGCGGAATTATGGCTCTCAGGAACGTGACTTATTTATCTTTTTCACGTAGTTATTATATATACAGGGTGATTCAAAAGGTTAGGGCCAAACTGAAGGAGCGTATAGAGGGACTCAGAGAGAACAACTATTGAATAGGAATCCATGTCCTCCGAACTTATCCTTAGTCAGGCGAGGCCATTGAAGGTAGTTAAGTCTGATAACATACCGCTGAAACAATCTTACTTTGCTCTTCTCCTACTAGCTTAATTTTGTTTTTTATTAATGTACAAAGATTACATTAGCAATCTTAAAAACCAAATTATTTCAGCGGTATGTTATCAGACTTCCCTACCTTCAATGGCATCGACTGACTCAGGATAACTTTGGAGGACATGGATTGATATTCGAAATTTGTTCTCTCTGAGTCCCTCCATACGCTCCTTCAGTTTGGTCCTAACCTTTTGAATCACCCTGTAGATGCGTACACTACGTATTGGAAAAAGCAAACTATATCAGAGTCTGTAAAAGCTCCAAAGTTCAGAAATGACTCTGCTGTTTTTAAAAGATGTCTCTTTGCCTTTACTTTGCTTATGGTCAGAATAAGAATGGTTACACAAAACGAATACTGGTCCACTGATGCCTTGATTTAAATCCCATTTTATAGTGTTTAGAAATAGTAATAGTTTTATTCATTTTTCTGAGAAAATGCAGACTGAGAATTATACTCAAGCGGTGATTCAATGTGTGTGAACAATGTCATAATTTGTTTCGTGTTTTAATAATGCTGTAGTTCTATTATCTGCTGAGTTTAGACAATGCCAATAATCCTTAATGCAAACACTGAACTATGGAGATAATGGCAGAGTTTTACAAACGAGAAACGTGAGACAATGATAAAAAGTTTCTGTCCAACCTATATTTACACCACAAATCCCGCATTGATGGGCACGGTCTTCAACCCTGATCTGCTTGAGGCAAAGTGTCTTTCCTTGCCACAAGAGCAACGAAGTGGTCCCATATTACTGACGTCCAATTCTACCACGAGAGAGCAACATGTCTGGTTGAAATCCGTACGATGTAGCGTTTGCAGGCCACTTAGCAGAGTCGATTAACAAGTAACGCGGGTATTGCTCTACCAATTGGAGATTAGGAGTGTACAGCAGAGAATTGTTATAAGTTCCGTCATTAAAATGTTTACTTGAATAAAACACTGTCACTAGTTTTATTTTATATTACCGTGCATGAGTGTGTGTTGACGGAAATGCTACGCAAATAACTACGTTTTAAATCAGACATTATATAAAGACTCTGAGCTTTTTCTGATTCAGATTATATTGAGTTTAATACAATATTTGATTCGTGATTTTTTTTTCGTGACATGTTAAAATCGGTAGTGAACGCTGATATTCGGGAAAGTTTTATATAATTGCTTACCTATTTCAGTTAAACATAAAAGATTCAACTACCATACTCACCCGTTAATTATATTAGTATCCACAAAAGAAGTAATAAATTAAAGATTTAGTGCATTATTCTGTGTAATTGAAATTATGCAGTGGCACTAAATTCCTTCAATCAGAGCAGAGAACTAACTCAGTGTTGAGCTATGGAAATTGTTATGAAGCTCCTACGGTGTTCCATTTAACGTGAAACCCACCACGACAGCATGCGGTAGCATCAGCTATTCAACTGCCAGAACATGAGCCAGTCATAACGCAGAACAAAGCTCAGTTACGCAATTCTGTATTTAACTATACGAATGACCAAGCTGAGGTAAGCAACAGTAATAGTTAAATAGGGTGGCCCGGTTGAGATTCGAGCTGGACACTTCCGGTATACAAGTCTAGAAAATGTTACCGCTGTGTTCTCCTGCTCGCAAGTTTTCGAAGAAGAAAGAATTCATTGAAATTTAGTTAACGTTTAACTGAATTTCTAAAAATTGTGTTAATGTCGACTATCGACTAAACATTGTTCTGTAACGTACTTACAGATACAATGTTTTTTTAAACGACTTCAATAGTACACTGAACATTATTACATAAATACCTAAGCTTAGGTCTGATCAATGTAACACCCTTTTAATATAATGTCGACTTCTTTGTTGAAACCAATTACCGTGTCCAATCTGTAGCTGTGCACAACGTTTGGTAACGGGACGTAAATTTCAAGCGAAAATTAATGCCCATTCAATTTGTTCCGAAAACAGGAATACGTTCATTTCAACCCGTCTTCAGTGAAGAATTGTACGACGGTGGGGGAGGGCAGAAGGAATTGAAGATGGGAGAAGAATCACAGTAGGGAAAAGAAAAATCTATGAAGTTGACCGAAATGCTGAGGTCCGGCAATATGGCGAAAGAGAAGAAGAAAAATGAGAAGAAAGGAGGATGGATGGGTTGTTGGTTCTGTGTGTGTGTGTGAGTAATTTACACACACGTAGAAGGAGGTTTGTTCGTGCAAGATTAAGATGAAGCGTCTAAGTTCTCTCTCCTCCGCGACGTCACGCGTATGGGCGGCCAATGATGTTACAGTCTGCATGCCCGTAAATGTCCAGAAAGGAACATTCCACCTGCCTCCGATATTCTCTTGGCGTCATTTTGTTCGCCACGTCTTCTTTACCGAGATTGTGACAGCGAACAGTAGGAACATAAGGATGGGATGCGAATTTTAAATTGATTTTACTTATATCAGACTCATGTTCAATTTGCATTAGTCCAGAAATATTAATGATTGTAACGGTGACTGGCATATATATGTGCATTGAATGCATGTGTCATTTGCCGGCACCTGGTTAGAATTTCATGACTAACCACCAAGCGCTACAAAATTTCCGTACACGAGACAAGTATTGCTCCAGAAAAACTATGAAATCAGCTTATCTTTTGTACAGCAGTTCTGCCAGAAGCCGGGAAAAGACATTCGGTTTAACTGCTTACTGCCAACAATACTAACTGGACTGCCATAATAATTTAGAAGTATAAGAATATTACCACAGTTTTATGCGTTGCCCTGTAATTTTGTAAAGTGATACGATATTAAGTAATGTGTGCAAGTTTATTAAAGTCGTTGTGGTAAATTCAGAATAGACGTAAGAACATAAGGGCCGTGGAAAATATTTTGCTCTCTTACCTGTAGCAAATTATTTGTGTGAAGAGTGTATAGCGACATTTCAATACCCGTAGTCTCGGTACAAGCTATTTTAAGACAAACGTAAAAATGTACAGTACTCCAGAATTTTAATTTAACCATGTCTTTAATAATTGTTCCGAAAATGAACCAAATCAAGAATTAACCGTTAATATTATTCACTACTGCCATACATCGTTAGTCTACAATTTAAATAGAACCGTTTTCGTTCCGAAAGCAGTATGTCTTAATTTAGCAATTTGTTACTCAGACAGACATTTAAACTAAAACCTTCAATAAGTCATAAAATAATATATCGTTGCTAAATTTAACATTGAATCAAGGTTTAACATTTCCCACTAGACTCACTTTCACACACTCGCAGTTTCATTTACACCTGATGTCCTGTTATTGCCAACAGAATTACTGTATTCATAAGACTAAAATATTTATCAGTGTGTCTATGCACATTCAGGCATATGTATGTGATGAATTTCTATCCCGTTTCAGAAACGCTTTCATTCCCTAGAATTACCTGTTCTAAGCTAGTCTATAGAAATTCAGACGCTCTAAAATAAAAATGGAACAAAAAGAAACTTCTAAAATTTATAAACACGCTTCACCTCTCGCCTAAGATTAATTTATAGATGTAGATACATCAGCTTACAGATTTTAAACATACTACAACGGACTCAGATATGTACGGGTTGTTCATGGATGACGTATCTCTTTAAAAGAGTAATTTTCACATTTCTGAGTGTAAAGTATCCTGTATCTTCTTTCGTTTGATTATTTCATCTTTATTCTTTTGCTCTGCTTCATATCAATATATAATAACTTACATAAATCCGATCCATATGTACGGTTAAAAAATCTGTCTCTTTGTAGAGAAAAGGTGATACAAATAGGCTTAAATGACACAGGGAAGTGTAACATCAAAACACTTTATTATCCTCTGTGCAATTACAATCAGTTCCACACATCGGCGGCTCAGCGTGTGAGTATTCATATGCGTCGTAAAATGGAATTAAGACACCGTAAATCAGCGCTGATACTGAACAGTAAAGCGTAGGAAATACTAACACTTTCCTTTGATCGTGTATACACGTTGTCTAAAAATTATATTCTGTAAATCTTTGTAAAAACTACACAACTTTGACGCCGAAGCTGATATAGGATTTATTAAATTTACTTTTATTCTTGGTTTAGATTTATATTAGTTCAGGCATGTTTGTTAATAGTCCTAATATTTATTTCTCATTTTACCTGTGTCCGTAGTTGCAATAAGTAATATATGCGTATGCCTCTTTGCATGAAAGTAAAGTAAATGTTAACATTTTCCAGAACCTTTTAAACATTTCATACTTATTCATATTGCCACACAAACGTTTATGTGTTTATTTGTTTATAATTGAAGTAGGTTGTTACGGAGAGCCCAGATTAAAATAAATTCATTTGATTTTGTTTGAAAATACGTAAAATTGTAGGTTCCCAAGGCGGTACAAATATTGATTTCATCTTCTAGACTGTAATACCGTGTACTCTGTTAGGCAGATACATTTCGGAGAAACACACTGTGTCTATCTCTAGGGTTGCCCTGAAGACCAATATGGTACTGGGTCCCTACAGCATTCGTTTATAGTAATATGCGTATATTTATTTACATTATTTCTGAACTGATTTATAAGTCACGAATAGTGTACTGCTGTGTGATACTGTCCTTATTAACCAATGTATGTTTTATATTTTGGAATGTCAGTAGTCTGTGAATGGAAGGTTGTCGCTTTAAAATAATTCTTCTAATCTGCTTAAAATGTGCATACATAAAAATGCATTAGAACCTTTTAAATACGAAAATACTGTGGGAAAATATTGTATTAATAGCAATCAGGTGGATATATGGCTTCATATCTAGGCCATTTTTGTTCCAGATTAAGAGTTTTTAATTTCGGTGCATAGGAAATGAAGCCAAATTCTGTCCCTTAAAATTCAGTGTATATGTTTTGTGTTAAAATGGTTGATGTATTCCAGGTATACTGATATTCTTGGAAACGTTGTTACTATTAATGAGCTTTTAATATACCTGCTAGTTACATTAATTATGGCCGATGATAAAGATTGCTTGTTTAATTTTGCTCTTACACCTTCAAGGAAGACGAATTTACTACATCTATTTTATTCTTGGAATATTTAATTCTGTGTGGAGAGACAAAAAGGGAAGGAAATTAATTATAATTTAGTGGTCTATTTTAGTTTATTATTTGTAATAATACTACTGTTCTGACATCGTTAATCGTATCTAGTAAAACCTCAATAATTCGATTGTCGCTATGTTTGTAATAGATTGTTGCTATCTTATAGGTTAAACCTGCACGCATAAAGGGGCAACATAATTCCGGAAAGAATCGCATTAGTCTAAGAAAATAAGTGGTAAAGAAAAGGCTTTCTGCCTGTGCTGCGGTATTTTTCAAACAAAAGCAGCTTGCGTCCATTACATTTTGACTTACATATGTAAAAGTAAAGTACCTACATGCTCAGGACAGGGACCAGTGGCGGGCTCTTGTGGGCACGGTAATGAACCTCCGGGTTTCATGTTGGGAATTTCTTAAGTAGCTGAGCGACCTTTGGCTCCTCAGGAAGGACACGGCTCCACGGAGTAAGTGGATTAAGCAACTACGTACATAAATATGAACTTATTCCTATGTTACAACACATAAAAGCTTTGATGAAAAATAAGAATATCAGGAAATTTTCGCTGATTCATGTGCTGGAAAGTGGTTTTCCCAAGAATTTTAATTCCGGACTAATGTCGGTTTCCCTGAAACACTTCAATTATTATATATACAAGAATGTTTCGTACGTAATTTGTGTGAACATTTATTGGTTCTTTAATTAACGTCGTCAAACTGGAATACGGATAGATATTGAGCTATACTAACTTTCAAGGTCAACGATTATAAGCTCTGTTTGTAGTTCAGCTGTCTCAGAGGAATTTAAAACGTGGGCAGTGAAGTACCTCTTGAGCAGTGACATTATTAAATATCAAAGGCAATTCTTTAAGTGGTTCAAGAGTTATTAAGGCGGTAGATCTGTGGGCATCATGAGATTCTAAAGCCGTACTGGTCAGAGTTCAGTTCCTCAACGCGGCGATTATAAAAATGACCGCGTTCTAGGATGCTGCGACCTGATTATCCAGCAATAAACACTTATGTAACACAATTGTTTTGAAGAAGTTAATGATCGTTTATCTAGTAAAGACATACATTTATGTTTTCACAAAAACTTGCATGTTTTTCCTGGTATCTTGATCTGTTTGAGTTTCGAAACTAGCAGCTGCAGGAATCGAAATATTGTACGCCTATAATTATCGCAGTACACATACGAAAAGCCATGCAGTTATCGGAGTGGAAATAATGTAGCTTTCATTTTTAGAACGTATTATATCATTCGCCTCCCACAAAAGATGTGTCACTGCTCATAATATAATCACGAGTTAAGTAAAGTTAACAGAGGCCAATGAGAACTTTAAAAACAACCAGTGGTAGCCATGCGCAAGGACAGATTGGTGTTGACTGGCACCCAAGATAATCAAGCATTGTAACACATCAGAATTCAGCGCGTTAATTTTGTATTAAATTGCAGATTTGCCCATATTCAGTTTGTACATGGCTATTTCAGATTCTATCAAAGTTACGTCTAACTACATTAGCAAGGATGGGGTTCAGTTTCGATTCCAAACATGTTGGTTCCTTTCACGAGAATCGTTCGTCAGCAGAAGAGACATTCATACCATTCCATTACTAACAAAAGGGATGCAGACATAAAATTAGTTGATTCTAAAGAATGAAACCGGGTGAGGTTTGTTGAATTCTGTCAGGCCTCCTTTTCCATTTCCCTAGGAATAAGAAAAAGTAGAATCTAGAGATGTCGGAAATGAGTGATGAGATCCGAAAATGAAGAGGATGTTGAAAACATTGAATTTGAGTTGAGTTGATATATATATATATATATGACCACGGTGGCGCCATGGAAGTTTATTCTAACACGTAACAAGTTTTTTAGGAAGAGAAAGGCAGTTCTTTAGCGGAAGCAGAGTGACGGGGATTCCCATTCATTGTAACGCGACGGAAACGTGTGTGTCGAGGGGTAGAGGGTCTAGAAAGATGACTGACGCAAGAACAAAAGATTTAGCAGAGTTCTTTATAACACTGCGTGTGTTTGTTCCCTGTCCGAACATCGCCTCTCTTCAGCAGTCTAGTAGGCCAACTGTTATTTCAGTCAGACAGCGAGATAGACCAACTCCGGATGAAATGAGACGAATATCAAGAGATGAAGGGACTCGGCGGATGAGGAGAGGAATGCTTAAGATCAGCAGTTCTTGCTCCCCCCCACCAAACCCCCAGCTCTACATTCAGGCTTTGTTGTTTTTGTGATACACAAAAGAAAACTATTCCTGGTTCATTGTAACCGTCCACTGGAATACAGAATGCTTTAGGCTCAGAAGGTAGATGTGTTAAGGATCAACATATGCGTGTTCTGTCAATAAATTTTTGCCAGTGCTCTGTAGTAATTTGGCACAAAATCGTTTTGGGATGGAGGAATTACTTGTCTTCCCATACCTTTGTTCTTTCTAACGCGTGTGATATAAAACTTTTACGAACTTTCAAGTCGACACGTTCACGAGTCAGCTGAAACGAAGAATCAGTTGTATAGTACAGTGTTTAGTCTGTAACACCAGATGTTCACACTCAAGTATGTCAGAGTTAATTACAGCACAGATGAGAATTTGCAGTGAAACGAGTGGCCCTCACATTGGACCTCGCTTCCTCCACGTCATCTTTTATATATTGCCTTCCGGCGCTTTGTTCCTTGATATTGCATTTAATTTGTTTTTGTGTTTGCGACATTTATAATAAACAGTTAACATAAATTTAATCTCGTTAAGATATACACAGTTTATCTGAAACATTTATTGCTGTTATGAATATGTAACTGGTACATTCAAGGAAAACTAATTTATAACTGCGCGATGTTATGATCTTTACAACATTGCATTTCTGTCCGCAGTAAATGAACGAGGTATGCAAATACGTACAAGGAACGAGTTGGTATGTTGCGCGGATCCCAGTGGATTACGCAATACCTCTTCCTGTATACACCGGAGGACATAGCATGATCCTATTACATCAGCATCGTCCACGGCAATGGAACTGTTTCTTACTCATGCTTTTTTTATCACGGTACAAATAGAGAATGCATTATATTTTAAAATCCAAATTTTTCATACAGCATACTTCACTTCTCTTAAAAGTGCATTTATTATTATTACAATATAAACATGTCACTCGTTCAAATCAAACGTTTTCTTCTACATCCAGAAACGAGTTTAACAAAATGTGAATCTGTGCAGAACTGGCTTAAAGCGCAATCCACTACATTTTATTATAATTGAATCAGGACAATTGTGGACCGCTGGAATATGTGAACTGAAAGGCAGGGCTATTATAAACAATAATAATAAATTCGCAACTACTGGATTTTGGAAGACGTATAATAAATTTGGCTTTAATATTTTACTTAACTTCGTAGTTAATTGCTGGCATTGCACAGACACTCAGATTCAACTATATTTAAAAATAAAATAAACATTTGATTCCATTTTATGACACTGCGCTAGGATATGATTTCGTAGTATTCTAATAATTAAAATCTAGAGCAGTTGGCTTGAAATATGTTCTACCGCTTTTTCCGAAAAACACCTAGCATTCCTGAGGAATGAACGGACTTAGAAGTTCTGTAATGACGGTACTACATCCAGCGTGGATTTGGCTATGACACAAGAGATGATGGCACTCGATTATACTTACGATTAATGGCGTCATAATCGGCCAAGCGTATAGAGTGATGGGAGGGGGGACAGAGTGCTACTTTACTTGTAGCGTATGCCTCCTCATTTAAAGTAACCCTCACTCTTGTCCCTTTCAGAGCATGCAACATAAAGGAAGGGATGAAGTGTAGTAGGGATAGTGGAGTAACA